TAGATTAGACAAGGTAGAGGAGATGGTAAATGAAATATAAATTAGAGAACAGGAATATAAAGAAGCTGAGGCACAGAGAGAAAAAAGGATCTCTAGGAATGAAAAAAATAAGAGCACTAAGTGACCAATTCAAATGGGACAATATTCGCATTATAGGTGTATCAGAAAAATAATAGAGAGAAAAAGGGATAGAAAGTGTCTTTGAGGAAATAATTGCTGAAAACTTCTCCAATCTGGGGAAAGAAAGTCTCTTAGGCCATGGAAGTGCACAGATCTCCCAATACAGGGACCCAAGGAAGATAACATGAAGAGGTACATAATAATTAAAATGGCAAAGATCAAGGACAAGGACAGAATATTAAAAGCAGCCAGAGAGAGAAAAAAGTTCACATACAAAGGAAAACACATCAGGCCATTATCAGACTTCTCAGCAGAAACCTTATGGACCAGAAGACAGTAGCATGCTGTATTTAATACAATGAAACAGAAGGGCCTTGGACCAAGAATACTCTATCTGACAAGATTATTATTTACATTTGAAGCAGAGATTAAACAATTTCCAGATGAGCAAAAGTTGAGGGAATTTGCCTCCCACAAACGGTCTCTACAGTGTATTTTGTAGGAACTGCTATAGATGGAAGTGCTCCTTAGGCTAAATAGTTGTCCCCAGAGAAAATAAAACCACAATAAAGGAAGTAGACAAATTAATAAGCACAGGCAAAAGTAAATCAACTACCAACAAAGTCAGTCAAAGGATAAACAAAGAATACAGAATATGACACCTAATATTTAAACAGTGGAGGAAGAAGAAAAAGAAGGGAGAAAAAAAAGAACCTTTACATTGTGTTTGAAACAAGTGTATTAAGCGAGTTAAGTTAGACTGTTAGATAGTAAAGAAGCTGCCCTTGAACCTTTGGTAAACACAAAACTAAAGCTTGCAATGGCAATAAGTACATATCTATTGATAATCACCCTAAAAGTAAATAGTAAATGGACTGAATGCACCAATCAAAAGACAGAGAATTACAGAATGGATAAGAAAACAAGACCCATCCATCTATATGCTGCCTACAAGAGACTCACTTCAAACCCAAAGACATACATACACAGACTAAAAGACTAAAAGTGAAGGGATGGAAAAGATATTTCATGCAAATAATAGGGTGAAAAAAGCAGGAGTTGCAGTATTTGTATCAGACAAAATAGACTTCAAAACAAAGAAAGTAACAAAAGACAAAGAAGGACATTACATAATGATAAAGGGGTCGGTCCAACAAGAGGATATAACCATTATAAATATCTATGCAACCAACACAGGAGCACCGACATATGTAAAACAAATACTAACAGAATTAAAGGGGAAGTAAAATGCAATGCATTCATTTTAGGAGACATACCACTCACTCCAAAGGACAGATCAACCAGACAAAAAATAAGTAAGGAAACAGAGGCATTGAACAACACATTAGAACCGATGGACCTAATAGACATCTATAGAACCCTCCACCCAAAAGCAGCAGGATACACATTCTTCTCAACTGCACATGAAACACTTTGAACAATAGATCATATACTAGGCCAAAAAAGAGCCTCAGTAAATTTTAAAAGATTGAAATTGTACCAATCAGTTTCTCAGACCACAAAGGTATGAAAATAGAAATAAACTACGCAAAGAAAACAAAAAAGCTCACCAACACAAGGAGGCTTAACAACATGCTCCTAAATAACCAATGGATCAACAGCCAAATAAAAACAGAGATCAAGCAATATATGGAGACAAATGCCAACAATAACTCAACACTGCAAAATCTGCGGGATACAGTGAAGGCTGTTCTAAGAGGGAAGTATATTGCAATACAGGTTTACCTCAGGAAAGAAGAACAATCCCATATGAACAGTCTAAACTCACCATTAATGAAACTTGAAAAAGAAAAACAAATGAGGCCCAAAGTCAGTAGAAGGAGGAACATAATAAAGATTACAGCAGAAATAAATAAAATTGAGATGAATAAAATAATAGTATCAATGAAAGCAGGAGCTGGTTCTTTGAGAAAATAAACAAAATAGATAACCCCTTAGCCAGACTTATCAAGAAAAGAGTCTATACACATAAACAGAATCAGAAATGAGAACAGAAAAATCACTACGGACAGCACAGAAATACAAATAATTATTAGAGAATACAATAAAAAATTATTTGCTAACAAACTGGATAACCTAGAAGAAAAAGACAACTTTCTGGAAAAACACAACCTTCTAAGGCTGACCCAGAAAGAAACAGAAAAATCTGAACAGATTACTAGCAATGAAATTGAATTAGTAATAAAAAAATTACCTAAGAACAAAATCCCAAACCAGATGGCTTCACTGTTAAATTTTATCAGACATTTAGTGCAGACCTAATACTCATCCTCCTTAAAGTTTTCCAAAAAGTAGAAGAGAGAATACTTCCAAACTCATTTTATGAGGCCAGCAACACCCTAATACCAAAACCAGGCAAAGACACCACAAAAAAAGAAAATTACAGACCAGTATCCCTGATAACATAAATGCAAAAATACTCAACAAAACAGAAGCAAACCGAATTAAAAAATACATCAAAAAGATCATCATGATCAAGTAGGATTTATTCCTGGGACACAAAGATGGTACAATATTCAAAAACCCATCAACATCTTCCACCACATCAACAAAAAGGACAAAAATCAGATGATCATCTCCATAGATGATGAAAAAGCATTTGACAAAATTCAACATCCATTTGTGATAAAAACTCTCAACAAAATGGGTATAGAGGGCAAGTACCTCAACATAATAAAGGCCATATACAACGAACACACAGCCAACATCATATTTAACAGCAAAAAGTTGAAAGCTTTTCCTTTAAGATTGTGGACAAAACAAGGATGTCCACTCTCCTCACTTTTATTCAACATAGTACTGGAGGTCCTAGCCACGGCATCAGACAACACAAGGAAATAAAAGGCATCTGGGTTGGTAAGGAAGAAGTTAAACTGTCACTGTTTGCAGATGACATGATATCATACATAACAAACCCTAAATAATCTACCCCAAAACTACTAGAACTAATAATTCAATTCAGCAAATTTGCAGGATACAAAATTAACATACAGAAAAGCTGTTGTAGTCCTATATACTAACGATGAACTAGCAGAAACAGAAATCAGGAAAAATTCTATTTACAATTCCATCAAAAAGAATAAAATACCTAGGAATAAACCTAACCAAGGTGGTGAAAGACCTATACCCTGAAAACTACAAGACACTCATGAGAGAAATTAAAGAAGACACCAATAAATGAAAAAACATCCTGTGTTCATGGATAAGAAGAATTAATATTGTCAAAATGGCCATCCTGCCTAAAGCAATCCCTATCAAAATACTGACAGTATTCTTCAATGAACTAGAGCAAATAGTTCTAAAATTCATATGAAATGACAGAAGATCCCAAATAGCGAAAGCAATCCTGAGAAGGAAGAATAAAGCTGGGGTGGTTATGTCCCCCAACTTTAAGCTCTCCTACAAAGCCACAGTAATCACAACAATTTGGTACTGGTATAAGAAGAGACCCACAGATAACTGGAACAGAATAGATAGCCCAGATATAAAGCCAAGCATATACGATCAATTAATATACAATAAAGAAGCCATGAATATACAATGGGGAAATAACAGCCTCTTCAACAACTGGTGTCGGTAAAATGGGACAGCTATATGTAACAGGACAGCTACATGTAAGAGAATGAAACTGGATTATTGTCTAACTCCATACACAAAAGTAAACTTGAAGTGGATCAAAGACCTGAATGTAAGTCATGAAACCATAAAACTTAGAAGAAAACACAGGCAAAAATTTCTTGAATATAAAGATGGGTAACTTTTTCACATCTCCTCTGGCTAGGGAAACAAAAGCAAAAATGAACAAATTGGACTGCATCAAACTAAAAAGCTTCTGTACAGCAAAGAACACCATCAGTAGAACAAAAAGGCATCCTACAGTATGGGAGAATATATTTGTAAACGACATATCTGACAAGGGGTTAACATCCAAAATATATAAAGAACTCACATGCCTCAACACCCAAAAAGCAAATAACCCAATTAAAAAATGGGTGGAGGATCTGAACAGACACTTCTCAAAGAAATTCAGATGGCCAACAGGCACATGAAAAGATGCTCCACATCGCTAATCACCAGAGAAATGCAAATTAAAACCACAATGAGATACCACCTCTCACCAATTAGGATTGCCACCATTGAAAATACAAGGAACAAATGCTGGCGAGGATGTGGAGAAAGGGGAACCCTCCTACACTGCTGGTGGGAATGTAAATTAGTTCAACCACGGTGGAAAGCAATACGGAGGTTCCTCAAGAAACTGAAAGTAGAAATACTATTTGACCCCAGAATTCCACTCCTAGTAATTTACCTGAAGAAAACAATATCCCAGACTAAAAATGACATATGTATCCCTATGTTCACTGCAGCATTATTTATAATAGCCAAGAAATGGAAGCAACCTAAGTATCCATCAGTAGATGAATGGATAAAGATGTGGTACATATACACAATGGAATACTATTCAGCCATAAGAAGAAAACAAATCCTAGCATTTGCAACAACATGGATGGACCTAGAGGGTATTATCCTCAGTGAAATAAGCCAGGAGGAGAAAGACAAGTACCAAATTATTTCACACATTTGTGAAGTATAACGACAAAGCAAAACTGAAGGAACAAAAAAGCAGCTGACTCACAGACTCCAAGAAGGGACTAGTGGTTACCAAAGGGGAGGATGGGTGGGTGGGAGGGAGAAGGGGATTAAGGGACATTATGATTAGCACACATAATGTAGGGGAGTCACAGGGAAGACAGTATAGTACAGAAAAGGCAAGTAGTGACTCTATATCATCTTACTACGCTGATGGACAGTGACTGCAAAGGGGTGTGTGTGGGGGTGACTCTAATATGGGTGAATGCAGTAACCACCGTTGCTCATGTGAAACCTTCGAAAGATTGTGTGTCAATGATACCTTAATAAAAAAATAATAAAGTAAAAAAAAAAAAGGATTCCTTCCAGCCTTTTCCCCAGTAATATCTCTATACCTTTTTATTTTAACCTTCTTTTCAATGTTATTTATTTGTTCTCAGTCAGAAGAACATCACTCTCCCAGGATCAGGGTTTTGCCCTTCTGATTCTATGGTGTACCACCAGTACTTAAAGAAACATTGCAGTTATTTTAAAAACTGCCTGACCTATTATTTCCCTGTTGCTGATAGATCAAAAAGTGTCATCCTTAAAATAATACCTGATCCTATTAGTTGTTTTTGCTTAAGACCACTCTCTCCAGTTTTCCAATGACAAGTAATACTTTATATTGTAGACCACTAATATTCTAAGATTTTAAAATATGCACAAATAACTTATTGTTTATTGTGGTTCTTCCTGAAGAGATGGTACTACCTGTGTGGGAAAACTCAAGGTACCAAATAAGTGTCACTTTATGGCCTGGTACTACACTGGAACATATCACCTGTTCCCACAGGATGGTGGCTCTTCCCTGTACTAAGAGAGGCCTTAAAACTGTACAGACTGAGTCACCTAACACCTGAATATTAAGATCCATGGGATTTTCATTCCCTATACTCATGACTAGTACTGTGATAAGATTCCACACTGGGTAAAATACTAATGTTTAAAGCAATCTTTAAGGATATCTGCAATAAACACTTATCTTCACATATAAACTTAAAAAATACTTTAACATAATACATTGTGCTGCACAGAACTGGAATTCAACATAATATATTACACTGCTAAAATATTCATATAAATATCATATATGTATGGATTCAGGGCATTAGAAAAATTCACCTATTAGGATATTAAAGACCAATATCAGCAAAGCTCAAAGAGAACACTGTTTTAACACTAGGAACACTAACAATAATAACTATGAGGCTTATAAACAAGTGGGAAAGAGAATTGTTTGCATTGCTATTGATTATGTCACAACAGGCACAATCTGAAATACAATTTTAGACTAGCAGTGTATAAAAATAATATTTTCAACAATACCTTTGATAGGTACAGTACACATAAAAATACCGAGCTGCATTGGCTATTCCATTTAAGGACCTACTAAAGCAATTTAACTTACTGCTCCCAAGCTAGCTCCTTAAGCACCAAACCAGAAAGCTCTCTCACACATGTATACACACCACTTACAAACACAGCCAGAAAGTAAAATAACCTCCTATATCTGTAGTATATCCTGATGAGTCACTGACAGGCATCAGTCCTCAACAAGCATGAGATGATGGTGTCTGAAGCCTGTCTTCAATTTCAGGTCTGGGATGGATGAACAAAGAGGCAAAAGTAAGGTGGATTTTGTGTTTGTGAATGGTTTCTATTCCATTGATGCTGCTCTCTAGAAAAGGAACTTAATCTGGCATATCAATATTTAACTCGGGAGGTGGGGGAACATATTTTCCAGGGCTCTGGGTTATAACTACCCTGGCCTTTTTTCCAAAAATTGGAGCGATTTTAGGAGCATCTGGAATGGATGTTTCTTCAGCATCTTCGCTATCTTCATGATGTAGATCATATGAAATGTTCCCATATTCCCTTAAAAATGGGAAAATTTCCAGCACAAACTGACAGAAATCTCTGCGAATACCAAACCACCAGTGGTTGCCCCCTTTTCGCCTAAATGTTGTAGCCATTAAAGTTAGTAATGAAAGCCAAAGGGGGGCAAATATGGAGATGTAAGAGAATGTATTGTGGCCATCCAATCTGTGAACCAGTAGAACCTCAAAAGTGAGAAGGGGCACCACAATTGCTATCCAGCTGACGGCCATGGTCACGTGTGTTCTTCGCTGTTCTGCAGCCACATCCAAGGCCCGCAGGCACAGGAGCGACCAGACGATGTAATAGAGGACAACCAAGCAGAGGAACGACATGAGGATCCAGAGGGGCACGAACACCACCAGCCATGGCCAGCGGATGATCCTGTCCAGCCTCAGAGCGATGAAGATGAACTGCAGGATGTTGACAGAACACAGGATCTCCAGCTCGAGAGACCTATCGTGTCGGAAGCCCCAGACGCAGGCGGCCACGGACACTGGGGACACGAAGAAGAGCGGCATGAACACCAGCAGCCAGAAGTGGGTCCCCCTCTCCATCCTGTCGCAGACCAGGACTTCGAACATGAGCAGCAGCAGGTGGATGCCCACTGCGATCAACATGGCTTTGAACTCCACGCAGGCCTCCCCTTCGGCGCGATAGCGAGGGTTGCGGGCCCAAACGCTGGCGCCCACCGAGGCGCCCGCGATGACCAAGAGCTTCCACAGCCATATGGGAGCGAAGACCGCCCAGTAGCTCCAGTGAATGACGCCGTCCAGGCGGAGGGGCAGCAATACGGCGAAGAGCAGCAGGCAGGCATAGATGAGGAACTTACTAGGGTTGAAGTCCTGGAACAAGCTTCTGGGGTTCATGGCGAAGCCGCGTCTCAGTCCCTCTTAGCGGGCACCGCGTCTCCGTCGCTGCCGGGCCTAGCCTGCGGCGGCTCCAGCTGAGAAGCGGCCGGGGCCGCGGGGAGGTGGTTAGGCCCACGGCGCCGAGAAGTCAAAACACGTGCGTGCGGGGTCACGTGGCCAGGCCGGAAGTGCGGTGGGGCGTGGGGCGCGCCCCCGCGCTCTCCCAGCGGCCCAGGCGGCGGGGCGTCTCGGCGCCGGGCGCTACCGCAGCCCCACCACCGCCCTCTTTCAGTCCGTACCCATTTGGAAAGCAGCTACTGCGCGTAGCATCGGGGCGGGCGGGCGAGCGGCTCGGGCCCTAGTCCTGACGAGGAGCGAACTCCGACAGCCAGTCGGTAGCGAGCGGACCGTAGCTTCCGGCGGGCGCTTCCTGGCGGCGCCTGGGGCTCGGAGGCGGGCGTGAGCTCACATCCTCCCGGCCAGCCCAGGGGCGGGGCCGCTCGCGTTCCCTGTACCCCTCTGCCTCGGCTTTGGGGCGCGGGCACCCACCGTGAGGCTCCGGCTCCGGGAGCGCGGATCCGAAAACGACCTGGGCACGAGCGAAAGCGGGTGGTGGCCGGGTGTGGGAGTTTGTGAGCGAGGGAGTGGGTGCCGGTAGCTATGAATGCACAGGGCAGGTGTGCGAGTGTGTATGTGCGCGCGCCAGTGAGGCGGTGGGTTGGTCCCAATGCCGAGGAGGGAGGGAATGAATGCCTTCGGTAGGGTAGCGGGACTTGACCAGGAACAAATAGCTTCCAGGGCTGGACTCCACCCGGCGGGGCAACGGATAGTTAACTCTCAGGCTACCTGTGAAATGGCCGAGGCCGAGTGCCGAAGCGGCAGCGGTGGTCTTACACCTGCGCCTTTTCCCCGAGAGGTGGAGCGCAGGTACTGGGGAGGGTTTTAGACCTCGCAGAACTCCAGTGTTCTGCGGAGCAGGCGATGAAACTGGACCCAGAAAGCAGGTGCTTCCCGGTTCAGGTAACCGAGCAGGTTAGGAGCAGAATGGAGACTCAGATTCAGGGCTCTTGACTTTAAGTCCGTAATCCTCATTTTGATTTACTTGGCTCTGCCTAAATCTGATTTTCACAGAACAATGTTGGGAAAAGGGCCAGAAGTGAAGAAATTTCGGTTCTAGTCCAGGCCCTAAAAATCCATCACGTGAGAAACCTAGCCAGATTCGTTACTTCTGTCTCGGCCTCGGTTTCCTGGGCTATTAAGTTGGGGCCTGACCTGAGTGGGCTCCAGGGGCCAGCAGAGCTGCAGCAGGTCTGTGATTCGGAGCACGCCCCTACCCTCTTTCGCCAGCTGGGCAGACCCTGGAAGACTTCTCCCTCATTCTCCAGTCTTCCTGTGCTCAGCAGATCCCTGGATCCTTGTCCTTCCTGCCTCTCAGTCCCCACCCGTCCCCCGCAGTCCAGTTCCCTGCAGCAGCTTTGGAATGCCCACACTCAAGTACTGGGCTCTGAGGGAGGAGGCCATCTGAGGAACACATCTGGTGTCAGTCTCCATGGGATATCAAGGAAAAGCTTCCTGAGAGAGAAGTGGGGGTCGCGGTCCAGACCCAGGAGATGGCTTTTCCAGGTCAGCGTTACCAGGACATTCCCGGAGCTTGGTGTAGGGTGGATAGTACCAGCCCTCAGAGATCTCCCAGCAACTTTGCTAACTCCCACCTCAGCCGGGGCTGTTGGGTAGTCCTGGGGGAGGGACTGTCAGCTGAGTGGCTCCTACCAGGCCTCAGGGTTCTGCCCTAACCCCTGATGTCATAGATGTGTCTTCTGGGCCCCTTGCTTCTGAAGAACATTTTGGGAGTCATTGTGGGGAGAATGTTAGCTAAGAGGTGCTCTAGCCTTTCTCTGTCAACTTTTTCCTTCTATCCAGAGTTGCTCTCTGTTTTGTGTATTGATTTTTCTTTTACTGTTTCAAGAGGGATTTGTGAGCTAAAGTTTAAAATTCAAAACCCTGTACCAGTCGAACTATAAAATGGGATAATAAACATGGATTATTTTGAGGATTAGATAAATCAATATGTGGAAATTACTTTGCATTTAAAGAAATGTGAGCTATGAATATTACTACATTGGGGAAAGTAAAGCCTGAGGACAGGAAGAGTCTGCCAGCAGCTCTGCAGGGAGGCAGTGGCAGAGTCAGGTCCCCTGGACTGCTGGGACAGTCAGGAATCCTTACCCCCCCACTCAACCCCTTCTCCCTGTAGCAGGATGACCTCAGGGCCTCTGCTGTCAGCTTTGTGGCAAAGACTGGAGTTCGGAGAGTATTTTCCCATCTCTAGAGCTCCTCATTGAAGACAAGCACATGCTTCTCCTCAGCTGGGAAGGAGGCTCTTGAGGTGGTCTGCCCTGGTGTGGTGTACCCCTGCTGCCCCACTCTGGAGGGAGGTCAGATCCTGAAGCCAGGTTTATGCCAAAGCCCCAGGTAGAAGGCTGCTGTCTGTTGTCCCCTCACCTGGCTTTGCCAGGCCCCCAAATCTGTACCCCCACTTCTGTGCATTGATCACCATTCCTTCGCTGTGGTCAGTTTCTCAGGGACCTTCCCTTGCCTTTATATTTACTTTTAAAGCTAACATGGACTATTAGCTATGTGCTAGGTGTCATAGCTATGAGGCTAGTACACAAGCCAAAGCATAAATTCATTCATTTAGAGATGGTGTGTGGGGATATGGGTGCTCTAGTCCACCAACACAGGCCTGCCTGTTCCAAGTCTGGGTGCACTGACATGTGTCCCCATGCCTGCTTAGCATCCTCCCTCCCAACTCCCCTTCTGGCCTGGGAGGCCCTCCTGAGCTTGCCCTGGCCCACCTGCTGGCCAAGTACCTTTCCTGTGATCTGCTAATCTGCTGTCCTTCCCCGCAGTGGGCCATGCATGATCTCTGTGTTCTAAGACCCTGCTGTTCCCTCAGGCAGCCCACCTCCACATAGCTTCTTTCCTCCCTGGACCACCAAGACCCAAGACAACACTTCAGGCCCTGGGAAACCTTGACCCCTGGTGGACTAGTGACCCTTCTCTTTCCCACAGCATTAGGGGCTTTGTTTCTATCACAGGACTCATTTCCCTAGGTTGAGTCACTGTTCAGCCATCTTTCTCCCCATGAGATTTGAGTTCTGGACACCCAGCCAACACTTTCATCATAGCAAGTGCTGGAGAAACATTGGCTGAGTGAATTAATTTGGCCATACTCATGACTGCAACGCTCCTGTCCCAAATCCAGTGGTTCCCTCCATTCCTCCCTCTGAGCAGTGTGGAACCAACTGCTGAACCCAGCCCTCTCACTGTCAGCATCCACTCCCCAGCCAGGATGATCTGTCTACAGATAGCTTATGTATTGGTTATTAGTTTCCAATTGCTGCTGTAACAAATTGCCACAAACTTGGCAGCCCAAAGTGATGCCAATTATCTCAGTTTCTGTAAATCAGAAGTCTGGGCATAGGGTGGTTCAGCAGATCTCTGCTTGAGGCCAAAATCAAGGTGTCCACAGGGTTGTATTCCTTGATGGAACTTAGTGGTGAATCAGCTTCCAAGTTCATTGAGCTTGTTTGTTGAGTTCATTTTCATGGTGGAGGACTGAGGTTTCCCATTTCCTTGCTAGCTGTTGGCCAGGGGTCATTCTTGGCCACCTACCTTTTCTGGTTTGTGGGTCCTTTCAAAGCCACCAACTGTGAGTTGAGTTCTCATGCTTTCGAATTTCTCTGACTGATGCTTCTGCTGCATCTCTTCTGTCTTTTCTGTTTTTAAGAGCTCATGTGATTACATTGGGCCCAGCCAGATAATCCAGGATAATGTCTCTATTTTAAGGTCAGCCTATTAGCAACCTTATTCCATCTGCAAAGTCCTTTCACAACAGGACCTGAATTATTGTTTGAGTAACTAGGGGACAGGTAGGAATGCTGTACCAGCTTGGCTCTTCATACAGCGAGAAAGGAGATAGCCTGCCCCATGAAGGCTCTGGGAGAGCCGGGGTTTCCAAAAGAGCCCTTGCCAGAGTGCTTTCCCAATACAGAACAGGGTGACAGTGCTGTACTCCCAGATTGCACTTGGTGATCCCCAGTAGGCTCCCCTGGCTAGTCCCCTGAGCAGCTGGAACCTGATCATGAGTCAGGATTGAGTGGCCTTTCTCTAGCCTGGCCTCCCTACTGTCCCAGGGCTCACACCCAAAGTGGCATGACTCTGCCCATCTGGTTGTCCCAGGAGCACTGGGACTGTTGCAAGGGTGGGGCCCTGTTTTCCATCTCTGCATCCGCAATTTCTAGCACAGGCCTATCTGTAGCAAATGTTTCCAGGAAAGCACAGGGAGGCAGGAAGGTCTGCGCTGATGTGGCTGGCATCTTTCCCGGCTCTGAGAAGTGGAGCAAGGTCAGCTTTGTGAGACAAAGTAGCTTGTCCAAAGCCAAGAGTTCACAGGCTTGCAGGGAGGTGGTGCTGGCAATCCAGAGGGCCTCCTGGAGCTGGCCCTGAACCTAGTATTTCAAAGTGCAGTGTCATCTGAAGGGGCTGTGGTGGCAGGGGCTCAAGTCATTTCACAGTTAGTGAAACTGACACCCAACACCCCAACCATGATTCTCTGCTAAACTGGCAGCTGCAGGCTTTCTACTGAGCCCTGCTATTGTTCCGGCTGGTATTCTAGCCCTGTTCATCAGCCCGTTCCACTGAGCAAGGCCCCACTGAAGAGCCAGACTCAAGTTGGGACCCCTTAGCAGCTATTTTTTAATTCATGTATTCATTTAACAAATGTGCGTCAAGCATCTGCCCTGTGACCGGGGCCCTGTCCTGACAGGATGCAGTAGTGATGAGTTACTAGAGCTTTTCCTGTGCTGGCCCCTCATTTCCAGTGTCACCTCCTCCAAGCTGTCCTCCCTGACCATCCCCCTAAAGTCATACCCCCACCTATTTACATCATCCTGTTGCATTTCTCCTGCTTCCTAAATGGCCACTAAAGGCATGCTCACTTTAAGAAAATCTGGTAAATGCAGCCATTTGAAGAAAAATAAAAAGCTCTAGTTTTACCACCTACAGAAAATCACTGTTAACATTTTAGTGTATTCTCTTCCAGTTGGCTGTCTCTGCAAAGACATATCATTGTCCACATACCATTTTATTTTGGTATTTTGCTTAACATTAATTCTAAGACTCATTTGCTTTCACATTTTAACCCCTTAGGATCTTATACACACCACTGATGGTGCTTCAGCCTGTGTTCATAGTCATCTCTTCCAAAGGGTGCTATTTGCTTCTGATAATCACCTTGGGGCCCTGCCAACCTGGGAGGACTTTAGATTAAATTTAAGTTAAATTCAGTCACAGCATTTGCTTGTGGTGTTGCAGGCCAGGACTATAGTGCATCTGGAGGCACCAGTCTGTGGGAGCATGGGCTTGTTCACATCTGCAGGGGTGATTTTCTCCTCTCCTTGCACCCAGGGCCAAGGCTAAGACACAATTTCTTCCTGACTGGGCTGTTTATCACCCACCTTACTCAGATGCCTAAGCTGTGCTTAGAAGACTTATTAACCCATCCTGGGTATTTTTTCTCCCTTGTGGCACATGAAATAGTGGCATGTCTCATAATCGGTGCTGCCTTAAATATGATGAAATACCAGAAATAGAAACATTTCTCAGATTACTACAGTAAATAAGTGTAAGCGTCTTTTAAATGACTACACAGTACATCACAGAGTTGTCCAAAATGGTGTTTCTCCCCCACAAGGGTGTTATTTCTGTTCTTTTCAGAGCTGAAGGGCACTGTGGTCTTTCTCCACACAGCTTTTCTAATTCAGATGATTTCTTTAGGGTAATTTCCAGAAATCAAATTGCCGTGTTAAAGGAATGAATATTCTAAGGAACCTTAGTACATAAAGCTTAATATTTTTAGAGATCGATTTTCATGTTCTTTTTTCTGTGCCATCTTTGCAGAAACAGAGTTGGTGCCATAAGTTGGATTGTGAATCTCCCTCTACTGATGGCAGCTTGTTAAGTGCTTTTGGTCTGGAAAACTCT